AGAGAGCATTTTCGTTATTGGAGGAGGATACAACTCAATGCTTGCCGATGTCGACGAGTTTTTGGTGAGAGAAGGACGCTGGCGCGAGCGGATGCCCCTCGCCGTTGCACGCTGCTTCCACGCAGCAGCAGTCGTGAACGTGCCTGCCACCGCTGCCGCTGGAGAGAAGACGCTGATTGGCGCTTTTTGTGGATTGGGTGGAGATGGGTGCCTTTCCTCCTGTGAGCTCTATGACGTCAGTCAGGACAGGTGAGAGAACATCGGTCGTCGTGGCACATCCATTTTTTGCTAGAAATATCACTCACTCACTCACTGTCCCGCTTTCTCTCCGCCTCCCCCGAAACAGATGGCACAAATTGCCCGATCTACCGGAGAAGAGGAGCGGTCCAGCTGCTGCCTGCCTGCCCGACGAGTGTCGGGTCTTCGTTTTTGGCGGTTTTGATGAATCCTTCTGTGGTCTTCTGCCATCTGCCGGCGGACTGGCAGGGACAGGCGATCTCAGCAGACTTTTAGCAGCCAGCGGCTCCCATGAGAACTGCGCGATCGCACCTCGCAGCGACGCCCTTTCGGGGAGCAATCCTGGTCGCCGGTGGATACGATGGCCAAAAAACTCTCAACACGGTGGAAATGTTCTCGCTGCCAGACGCCAGCTGACCCCTTTGGTCAGTGGACAGAGATTGCCGGCATGAAGCAGCCTCGCTGGTACTTCACTCTTGTCACCTCCGCCAATGTTCTCTTTGCCCTCGGTAAGGCAACACACAGTTTAGATGGATCCTTTCATGCTATTTACTGGTCGATTTCGTGTAAACCTACTTTTCTTCTACAAAACTGAAGATTTACAGCACCTCACCTTAGAAATCCCCCTAAACGTTGCACGTAGACAGGATATTGCAGAAGTTGAAACCTTGGTCAACGTCCGACCGAAAATGGAATATAAAGGAACATATTATGGTGTAGCAGCACTTGTACAATACTGGCGCGATAGCATGCTTTCTTATAAGTAGGGATTTGTGTTGACAGCTTGTCTAGTCAGAGGAGTGGGCGACTAATGCTACAGGACGCTGCTGCAAGAGAATAAAGCAAACTATCGTCCTTCGCTCTTAGTTCCATAATTCGATGAACGCAAATATCTTCTCAGCTCTTGGCTCTATAGTCGTTCGGCATCCTTGAACAAGGTTTCACTTTCACAATCCTGAGTCTCAAACCAATAAGCCCACCTGTCAACCCCGGACAATAACGCAAAATGACCAGAAATGACCGTAAAAAATACCGGGCTTAAATTACAACTTCCATGAAAAAACGTCTCAAACGTCAGCAATACTCTTGAACTACCAAACCATACGTCAAGTTAATACTTGGTCACTTTGTTCGCGATATGGATGGCAGCTTTATTGTGGGCATATCGGCCAGAGGGGCGAGAGCTGGAGTGAGCATTTTGAGAAGCCGATCTGCTCTGGAGCAGAGTTTCATCCACCTCTCTATCCTATGCAGTGTCTTATGTGAAAGCCCCCATCGCCCTCGGGAAGTCACTTTCAATCATAGACGTAGGCCGCACAACAACAATAAGACTTTTAGAGAGGACGGTTTTCTCACTGAGATTCAAAAGCCGTGTGCTGACACTCCAGCGTCCTGGCTCCAGTCGGTGATTGGGCGACTAGCGAAAACCACAGTGAGATGAGTCCAATCGACGTTGATGCCAAGGCTTCCTATGTTGTTAGTCTAAGGCGATTATGAGGTTGCGTGACTCGCATTGGGCGTGGATGCGCGGATCAAATATTCACACCATGGCGCATTTTGGATCTCCGGAACCACTAGTAACAACCGACGGCCGTCTTCTTCGTTTACTTTGCCGTAGAGCTCGATTATTTTAGTCTCGGGTCTCTGTGACGGGTTAAGAGTCTACATGGCATGCCGACAAAAGTCATCGTGTTCAGAGTCTACTATTGCCCCAATAGTACATGTGCTCTGGTCGAAAGCAATCTCTCTCATCAGCTTGATGTTTGGCCTATCTTTTGACGATGCTTCGTGCTGATCAACTACGCTATTGACGGGACTAAAGGAGGGGTATTACACGATTTAGACAGCGTTGCATTTACACCCAATGGCCGGATTACTGGTCGCAACAACACTGACCATGTCTTTCTCCTAGTCTCAAGCTTTGGCTTAACGGATGGATGAAGTCGTTGGATTGGTCGGTCCTCCAGAAAAAGACACCTCTCGGGATTGCTTAATGCCAGTATGAAGAATTAGGCAGCCTTAAATAGCCCAGTGAGGTAGTTAAACAATGAACAGCAGATGCCGATACCGCTTCACGAAACGATGGGGCTTTCAGGTCTTCACTATCCGACGTCGTTGTTTACCTGCAGATACGAAAGAGGTAATCAACTTAAACCTAGATTCATTTTGACCCAACTGTGAAAACTCGCTATTCCGGTGGAATTCGAACCCAATACAGCAAGGGAACGGCCTTAGTACAGCCAGCGTTCTAGCCTCCAGACAATGCGAGTCTATTCATTCGTCTTATTAGTTAGGTTTAGAACACTGAGAGGAAGGGGATGCGTCGAATGGGCTGTCTCATGCCGTCAGCTCTGGCGGTAGCCATGGTTACGGCTGCATCAAGTTCAAGTAAGTGAGTACTGCCGCTTAATTTACTATGCACATCACTAACGATCGATACACTAAATGCTGCAGTATTCCGCTCTTGGGGGTTTGTCAGTTGCAATCAAATCGAGAAACCGCAGGTCAACGGATCCTAATCCTGCGGTTGAACAACTGACAGGAAAAATGAAACGCAGATCGTATTCGGTGTCTAGTTGCAAACTCGGTACATATAATTTAAGACGACAAACCGTGAAGAAATGTGGGAATAGGGATAGGGTTCAAATATTGTGGAATGAAGACAGCCGAAATCGGGAGTGCAACGACCCTCAAATCAATTATCATTACGGCCCTATCGATCAACGTTAAAAGACCACTGCGAATGGATAAACTCAATGGTCATCGGTTTACCTGATTCATGCATTACTTTCCACACACTCTTAAATGTGTGTCGACCCGGCTGAGAAGTCCATACACGCCAGGAGATAATAATTTTCCTGATTAAAACTAACCGAGTGGATGTTACAGGTACTCAAAGAAGATAATACATGGCCTCTTGTCCTTGTTATTGAAAGTCCAATTAAGAATAAAACAATTGGCTTTCATTACCCGTATACATTTAGTATGAATTGAGGCCTTGTATAATATTTATGAGTAATCTGGTCAACTGTCTATTTTTCCCTCTTTCTAACCTGCCACCCACCCATTCCCTTCTCCACTTTTGACTAAAGCATCGTTCTATCGATAGTTGCCGACACTGCGGCGTCCATATCCGGCATAATTATTCCGGGAGCTCACTGTGCATTGCTGCACCAACTATAATCAATTTAAATTGATAGAAACACCATCGAGACACGAACACAGAACAATGCTGCATCATATATAACCGCGGGAGCATGTGGTCTAGATTTAATAGATATCCAAGTTGCATGATATGATACCATGCGATTTACTAAAAGCTGGTTTCTGGGCGTCAACACAATGGAGGCTGTGAATATAAAACCACATTTAGAAGTATAGGATGACCGTTGGGAATGTTTGGGAATGCAAATAATGTCATAGGACGACATTTTACAGACTACGTGCGTTTGCTCACCTTCTAAATGCATTAGTGGTCTCTGAAATGGACGGCTTAACATAGCCTTCAATTTCAGGACGGATTTTCGGTAAGTTAATTTTTGTTCATTTAGAGACCTGTTCATGTATTTGGCGGTGTTAAATGTGTCTGGGCTATATTATTACATAAATATTCTGTTAAAAAGATGCCACGTTCTGAACCTAGATCTGACATACAAAAATAGCTCCAATTCATTCTCTCAAACAGTTACCGTTTCTATTTAGCATGTTTTGCTCCATCAAAGTAAGTAATCCAGGACTCGTCAGAGTGAAGAATTACTGAGCAATTTGCGCAAACCTATAATTAACGCGGCTGGTGTCTGTAAAAGCTTGGGATTATGCCGCAAGTTAATCAACGTAAAATCCGCACTAAAGTAATACTTCCCAACCGAAAACGTGTTGCAGAATTTCAAATAATATGTCATGAGATCGGTCACTAGCTGTACACGTCCACGTACCCTCGTTAGTATGACGCCCGAGATAAAATTACCAGCAGTAACTGCATCTAAATCCTATCTTAGGAATGGAAGTAGATCTATTTCGAGATGCGGTACAAGATCGCGTTCAGATCAACAGAATAAGTATGCCGCGGCAAATACGAACACCTAAGATAGTGAAAATAACCAATCACAGCAATGACAGGACCACATCGTCAAGAGGATAGTGGTTGATGAGAGATCGTAGCGAACGCGTCCAGTACGGGGCCCACCACTTGTAGGTGCCAGCCAATCAGAGCTAGGTGGGAGTAAAGATCTCTTGAGAACGCCCCTCACTGTCACCTGTGGTAAAGGCAGAGAGACAAACTGGTTGATTCCAATGCTTGGCTGGTCTTGTGAATGCAGAATCCGCATAACTTATGAGTGCATGACTCAGCCAGGTTCTTGCGCAGAAGTCTGTCGTAGGAGTATAGTCTGCAGAATAAGTGAAAGACATGTGACGAATAGAAGAGCGAATGAGAGGCAGAGATGCAGAAGATCGGTAACGGATAAGTGGGTACTAGACTGGACTGAGCACTGAGGATCAAGAATTTCATTTTATTCAACTACCTCACAAGTCACGCGCGCCAGAGCATCGAGGTGTACGCGTAGAAGCAGGTGGAGGACGTAGACGATGATTCGAGTGACGGACAATGACAATGAGCTATGATGATGACGATGACGATGGTGATTGTGGCGAGGAGGGGGAAGAGGAGGATGAGGAGGAGGTGGAGGTTAGCTTCGATGATGGGAAGGAAATAAAAAAGACGAATGTTGAGGAAGCAGCCGAGGAAGTAGCAAGCTGAGGGGAACTATATGGAAGAGGAAGAGGAGGCGGTAGAAGAGACATTAGAGAAGTAGGACAAAACGCAGTCAGAGGTGGAGGCGAAAAAGCGGAACGAGAGGATGAGGGAGAAGGAGGAGGAGGAGGAGGATGCGTAAGCAGACGAGAATTGGGAAGCAGAGGGCGGTTAGGAGAGTGGGGTAGATAAGGAAGCAACGGTGTGAGATGATGAGGAATACGAGCTTGAGGGGTTGGAGGAAGAAAGAAGAGGGTAAGAAAATGCGGAAAAGGAAGGGGGAAGGTGGGCGAATAACGGCAGTGGGGTTGTGGAAGCGTGATGTTGGTGGCGGCGGCGGTGTTGTCCGTGGTGGTTGTGGCGTTGGTGGTGATGCTGTTGTTTGTGGTGAAGGTGGTAGGTGTTACGGTGGTGACGGTGGTGATGTGTTTGGTTGTGTTGGTCGTGGTTGTGCTGTTTGTTGTGGGGGTGATGTGGATGAGTTGATGGTTGTGGTAGTGTTGTTGGTGGAGGTGGTTTTGCTTTTGGTGGTGTTGGTGGTTGTGGTGGTAGTGTTCGTGGTTTTGTTTTTGGAGGTGATGGTGGTAGAGTAAGTCATGCTGACGAGAGCATCGAGATTTACGCGTAGGAGCAAAAGGAGGACGTAGACGATGATGAGAAGGAGGAGGAGGAGGAGGAGG